AAAAATTGGATCTCATACAAATTGAGAGTAAAATAGTAGTCACTAGAGGCTGCAAGGGTTGGGGTTTAACGGATACAAAATTACAGCTAGACAGGAGGAAAACATTCTAGTGTTCTATGGCACTGTAGTGTTAACAGTTATAGTTAACAATAATTTATTGCATGCTTAAATAGTTAGAAAAGAGAATTGTGAATATTCCCAACACAGATAAAATGATAACTGTTTGAGGCAATGTTATGCTAATTACCTTGCTTTGATTGTTACACATTTTACACATGTATCAAAATGTCACACTCTATTCCATAAATATGCACAATTATTGTGTCAATTAAAAAATAGTAAAACAAAAATGAAACCAAAAAATGTAAGAATATCATAAAAGAGAATATCCAAATGGCCAATGAAAACAAAAACTTTATTCATCAGTAAAGAAGTGCAAATCAAACCACAATGAGATACTATGACCATTACACATAATGCCTAAAATTAAAAAGAGAAAGAAGTTAGAAAGGAGGCAGAGCAACCTGAACTCTCATTCACAGCTGGTGGGAATGTAATTTGGCATAATACTTTAAAAAACTGTTTGGCACTATTATTGAAGCTGAACATATGCATATCCTCTGACCTAGCAATTCAACACTTAGACAAGTAACCCAAATGAAGAGCATACACAAAAACATATACTGGAATATCTATAGCAGCACTATTTGAGATAGCCCAAAAATTGGAAACTGCCTAAATGCCTTTCAATACTTGAATGGATAAATTTAAAAATGAATTAAAGAAAACAAAATATGCTATAGCAATGGGAGAGAATAAACTACAACTACATATAACAAAATGGATAAATTTTACAAACATAATGTTGAACAAATGAAGGCTGATATAAAGTTGAAACACAGACATCAGGAGGAGTTCTAGGATGTCATAATGTTCTGTTTCTTGATCTGGCTCCTGGTTATATAGGTCTGTTCAATGAAATTTTATCAAATTTAACACTTGTGAATAAACTAGATCTAGCTACATATCAGCATGAATAAAACTGAAAAACAATGTTCAGTGAGAAAAGCAAGTTCTATAAATTTATATTCAATGACTCCAATTATGTACTGATCCCATTTATGTACATTGGAAGAAAACACAAAAGAACAATATTTTTAATAATTAAAAGTAATAAAAGTATTAAAATACACCAAATGTATGATATTACTTGTCTCTGGTGGAGGAATTAGAAGGATGGGACTGTGGATAGAACATAAACTTAGACTTTCTCGGTAATGTTTCATTTCTTAAAAAAATTGCAGACCTGAAGCTTATATGATAAAAAAAAAGTTCATTTAGGAGATTACATGGGTGTTTGTTATTCTTTTTCTTTTTCTTTTTTCTTTTCATCTTTCTGCTTTTCTCAAATGTTTTAAAATGTAAAAATAATATAATTTTGTTAAAAAAACAAAAAAGAGAGGAACATATTTGTATAAGGAAAATAATCAACATTGGCTATTCCTGGAGTAAGGGCTTACAGGTAAAATTTTCACTCCAGACTTTTCTATATATTCAAATTTTCTACCATGAATGTCTTTAAAAAATAAAACACTTTGTTGAAGCTTCATATGTAATTCCTGACTCATCTACTTAGATACTACAAGTCTCCTTGTAGCTCCTTCTATATTTTTATCACTGCGTTTACAGCCCATTTAGCTTTTAACTCTTGAGGCTCTCCGCCCTCACATTTATCCTGCTTTTAAAAATTATTCATTAGAGAAGAAAAGTAGGTATGATTAGTACATTATTCCAGCCTCTGGTTTAAATGGACCATTTACACCTCAGGAGAATTTTAATGGGATACAAAGAATCTGAAAGTTTCCAAAAACACTTTACCAAGGGAATAACAAATTACAGATTTGCTAATACCTTCAACAAGTCATGCTTTCTCTCTAAATCAATTTGTAAAATGAGAAGCCTTGACTTTCTGATCACTAAGTTCTGCTCCCACTCTGAAGGTTTCGTTAATAAATATTATAAAGCAATATTATATACAAGGTAGTATTTTCACTTTTTTGACTCTGCCTGTAACTGTGCTATCTAAAGTAATGACTCTTCACTTGCAATAGACACTCTATCATATTATCCTATCTCTTTGCCTTTAACAAATATCATTAATAATATTTTTATTTATTGGTTTATTGGCTGTTGTCTGTCTTCCTCCACTAGAACATAAGTCTTTTTCACTATAGTATTCTCAGAGTTTAAAATAATGACTGCTTACTCAAGAAATGTTTGCATATTCAATGAATGACTGATAGAAATGAATAATATAAGGTTCTTCCCCTCAAGAAGTATGTTGCTTAGTAGGAAGGACATACATAGAAAAAAATGCAATAAAAAGTATTATAGATGTTACAATGGACGAAATAAGTAGAAAATAAAGATGTAGGAATATGTATAGAATGACAGGGGAAAGTTAAAAAAAAAAAAAGGAGATACTTCATAATTAAACATTGCCTGAGAACTTTTGATTGCCAAATCCTTGTCAAGAATTGGTGATTCAAAGATAAGTAACACATACAATCTGGAAGAGGACAAGACATTTAAACAGATATGTTCCTTAAAAGATCCTAAGTGCTATAATAATGACCTATTTATAGTGCTGTAACAACAGAGGCAGTTTGACCCAGTGCAAGAACAGTTTTCTAGAAATGACACCTGAGCTGAATCTTCCAGAATGTAAGAAATAGCTAGCCCAAAGTATTAAGTCTTAAACCTTGTTATGATTTGTCCACCTGAAAATAAACAAATAAAACTCTCTCTACCCACAACACCCTCCAGCTCACAATTGACCCTCTTTTCACCATTTATAGCCAAACTTCTTAAAATAGAAATTTTCTACTTCCTTGCAACTTCTACTTCCAAGGTGATTAATAACTTCATCAACACTAAATCTAAAGACCACTACTGACTTTTCTCCTTCTCTTCCCTTGATGTCTGCAACCTAAATTCACTTGGTTTTCCTATTTCTCTGTCCATACCTTTACTGCCTTTGTAACTGTTTCTCCCTTAGCCCATCTATATACATTTATATAGTTATGTGTTATATATTTATATGTTATATATCTATGTATTAAATTACTAGGTGTTTGTACCTGCAGTTTAAAATTTTGTTTTCAAAGTTTATGGAACTGTAAGTCCTGATTTATTTTTTGAGTATTCACAAACTACCTGTTTATTTTGCTTTCTTGGAGTTTTGTCAGATTTCAGTATTTGGTTAATGCTATTTATAAGTAGTTTACTCCAATTCAACAAATATCTGTTGAACATCAAATATGTATGAAATACTATATAGGGTATCCTAGGGGGAAAATAAAAAGCTATTAAAAATAAGAATGAATCCTTACTTTGAGGTTTAAAAATCTATAATGAAATATAAACAGGGTTGACATGCAACCAGTATGTAAAGTTGACCAAACTGATTGTGGGTTTTTTGTTGTTGTTGTTGTTGTTGTTTGGAGATGCAGTCTCGCTTTGTTGCTGGGCTAGAGTGCCATGGCATCAACCTAGCTCACAGCAACCTCAAACTCCTAGGTTCAAGCAATCCTCTTGCCTCAGCCTCCTGAGTAGCTGGGACTACAAGTGAGCACTACCACACCTGGCTAATTTTTTTCTATTTTTAATAGAGACAGGGGTCTCATGCTTGTTCAGGATGGTCTCGAACTCCTGACTTCAAGCAATCCTCCTACCTTGGGCTCCCAGAGTGCTAGGATTACAGGCCTCAGCCATCACACCCAGCCAAACTGATTGTTTATAATAGGTATCTGCTTTGATTTGATATAAGTCTAACTGGATCTGTGAAATTTGAAAAGTTATTTATTATATTGATTGGATTTTAATCATGTTCTCACTTGAAAAATTGAAATCATACTATCTACCTACAGAATTGTAGAAAGTAATTAATAAGATAATACTGTAAGAAATTAATAACATAATAGATAGAAAGACATATCAACTGAACATGCATACACCAGGCAATAAAGCAAGAATCAACAAGTCTTATAAAATCACAATTATACATACCACATTCTCTGACAACACAATTTCTAAATGAATAACCTAAAATAATACCCTAAGAAAATCTCGCATGCTTGTGGAAATTTAAAATCACATTGTAGGCCAGGTGTGGTGGCTCATGCCTGTAATCCTAGCACTCTGGGAGGCAGAGGCAGGAGGATCACTCAAGGTCAGGAACTCAAAACCAGCCTGAACAAGAGCGAGACCCTGTCTCTATTAAAAATAGAAAGAAATTAATTGGCCAACTAAAAATATATAGAAAAAATGAGCCGGGCACAGTGGCACATGCCTGTAGTCCCAGCTACTTGGGAGGCTGAGGCAGAAGAATTGTTTGAGCCCAGGAGTCTGAGGTTGCTGTGAGCTAGCCTGACGCCATGGCACTCTACCCTGGGCAAAGAGTGTAAGTAAAAGTACTATGTATAAATACTTGCAGTAACACAGCTGGAGAGATTTAAGGGAAATACATAGCCCTAAATGTATGTATTAGAAAAGAAGTTTGAAAAATAATGAGCTTAGCATCCCAATTAAACGTTGAAAAAGACCAGCAAAACAAACCCAAAGAAAGTGAGAAAAAAATAATAAAGAAGAGAAATTAATGAAATAAAAATTAAGATTCTTGGTAAAGACTAATAAAATAGGCAACTCTCTAGTATGATTAACCAAATATAAAATAGAAGGCATAAGTAAACAATATTAAAAATGAAGAAAGAACTTAATTGCAGATAAAGCAGAGGAAAAAATACTTGCAATGAATTTATGCTAATATATTTTAAAACTTATATAAAATGATATATACCTAAAAAGTGACTTACAAAAAGTGACTCAAGAAGTAATAGAAAACATAAATGAACATGTATCCATTAATTGAATCAGCAGTTACAAAATTTCCCCCAAATTAAACAGCAGGCCCCAATAACTTTACAATTTCTACTGTATACCCATGATTCAAGCATTTCTTATCTTATACAAGCTCTTCCAGAGAACAGAAAGAGATTGCTGGCTGGCTGTCCAAATACATTTTCCTCTTCTTCTCAGGCAAAAAACTAGACTACATGTCCTAGCTTCCCATACCATTAGGTGAAGCCATGTGACGGAGTTCTAACCAATGGAATTTGAGTGAAAGTGATGTCATAAAAACCTCCCAAGCACTTTTCTCCATGTTCTTTCTCCCTTTAGGCTGACTGGGACAGAGATGATCCCCAGAGAAACCTGGGAAGCCATGCGTTGATATCACTACTATCAGTCATTTCATCTAATTGATATTTATAGAACATTCAACCCAACAGGAGCAAAACACATATTCTTGGGAGGAGGGGATGGGCAAAAACCTACGTAACAGGTACAATGAACACTATCTGGGGGATGGGCACACTTACAACCCTGACTTAAGCATAACAAAATTGATACATGTAACCAAAAACATTTGTACCCCCATAATATTTTGAAATTTAAAAAACCCACATATTCTTATCACGTGCAAATGGTACATTCTCTAATATAGAGAAATTTGAAAATTATTATAACTTCTAAATAACATATTTACTTCTAAGTATATAGAAGGAGTCTCAAAGGAAAATAGAAAATATTTTCAACAAATAAAATGAAAACACAATATATCAGGATGTGTGTAATGCCACTAAAGCAACACTCAGGGGGTATAATGTACCAGTTTTTCAAAAAAAGGTAACCCTTTAGTTTTAGATAAGTCTAACTGGATTTGTGAACTTTGAAAAGTTATTTATTATCTTGGTTGATCTTGCTGTTCTCACTAGAAAAATGGGAATCATACTATTTCTCTTACAGAATTGCAGTATGGAATAAATAATACTGTAAGAAATTAATAACATAATAAATGGAAAGACATATCTACTGAACATGCATATACAAGGCCACAAAGTAAGACTCAAGAGGTTTTATCTTCTTCAGCATTTGTTATTATGGAACCATTATTATATTATGTATTTCATCAAAAAGTTATTCCATTTTTTATTCCCAATGAACTATTAATATAAATCTAGAATATGTAATCTAATAGTTTACATGGGTAGTCAGGGAGGCTTTGGAAATAATTGTTTCTTTGGTGACTTCTGCTTTGCTTATTTTTAAAATAAATTAAATCTAATGAATTATGTAGATCTTCAGTCAGCTCTTTCTTTACTGCAGGTGTTCTGAACTTTCATCTTTTTGCTCAAATTTTCAACCCCAGCTACCACTATACCAAATGACCTTCTCTTCCAAATCACCTTCTCTCTCATGTTATACTCTCTCTTTTTTTTTTTTTGAGTTTCCTCCTATATTTAAAAGTGTTATAAACTTTAGAGTTACATGATTGGTACAAAATTCTAGCCTTATATAAAGTGATATTCCAACCTTGATTCTTGAATTTATTCTTAAATAACTTGAATCATCTTTTGCATATACTGACAAGAAACATTACTATATTTGCTATAATATTTTTATTGGGGATGCCTCTTGCAACATCACCAAATAGGCCCTAAATGAAATTCTAAATGAGAAATTAATTTTTTTCTAACAAAGAGAAAGATGTAGCTGCCATATGTCCTTTCACATTTGAGCTTTTTCTATTTTTATTTTTCATTGATACATAATGTATACATATTTATGAGGTACATGTGATAATTTGATAATTCAAATAATCAAATCAGAGTAATTGGGATATCCATCACATTAAATATTTATCTTTATACTAGAAACATTTGAATTGTTCTCTTCTAGCTATTTTGAAATGTGTAATAGATTAATGTTAACTATAGTCACCCTACTGATCTATCAAATACCAGGTCTTATTTCTTCTATCTAACTGCATATTTGCACCCATTAATCCATACCTCCCCACACCCTTCCCACCCTCTGGTAGTCACCAATCTACTCTCTATCTTCATGAGATCCACTTTTTTTCTTTTTAATTTTTATGGATACATAATAGTTGTATATATTTATGGGGTACATGTGATACTTTGATACAAATATGCAACGAGTAATGATCAAATGAGAGTAATTAGGATATCCAACAACTCATATATTTCTTTCCTTTTGTTGGGAAATATCTCCTTTTTTAGCTCCCACATATGAGTAAGAACATGTGATATTTGTCTTTCTCTCCTTGGCTTATTTCACTTAATATAATGACCTCCAGTTCCATCATGTTGCTATGAATGACAGGATTTCGTTCTTTTTTATGGCTGAATACATATTCCATTGTGTATATATATCACATTTTCCTATTTTTTAAATTGACAAAAAATTGTACATACTCATGGGGTACATGGTAATGTTTTGATACATAGAATGTATAGTGATCAGATCAGGATTATTAACATATCCATCATCTATCCTTTCAAACATTTACCATTTCTTTGTGTTGGAAACTATGTATTATTCTTAACTGTAGTCATCCTACAGTGGTATATAACACTAGACCTTATGCCTACTTTCTAGGTGTACTTTTGGTATCCTTTAACAAATCTCTCCCTTTATCCTACCTTTCCCAGCCTCTAACATCCTCTGTTCTACTTTTTACTTCTGTAAGATGAAAAAATTTTTTGGCTTCCACATATGAGTGAGAACATATGGTGTTTAACTTTCTGTTCCTGGCTATTTCACTTAACATAATGACCTCTAGTTCCATCCATGTTGTTAAAAATGACAGGATTTCATTCTTTTTTGTGGCTGAATAGTAGTCCATTGTGTATATATAATTGTGTATATACACCACATTTTTTTTGAGACAAGGTGTCTCTCTGTTGCCCAGGCTAGAGTGCAGTGATGTCATCATAACTCACTGCAACCTCAAACTCCTAGGCTCAAGCAATGCTACTGCCTCAGCCTCCCAAGTAGCTGTGACTATAGGTGTAAGCCACCATGCTCAGCTAATTTTTCAATTTTTTGTAGAGACAGAGTCTAGCTCTTGCTCAGGCTTGTCTTGAACTCCTGGCCTCAAGCATTCTTCCTGCCTTGGCCTCCCAAAATGCTAGGATAACAGGCATGAGCCATTGCGCCCAGCCATTCTTATCCATTCATCCATCTGTTGTTGGACACCTAGTTGGATTCCATATCTTGGTTATTGTGTATAGTGCTGCAATAAACATGGGGGTACAGATGTCTCTTTGATATACTGATTTATTTTCCATTGGATAAATGCTCAGGAGTGGGATTGCTGGATCATGTGGTTGTTCTAGTACTTTTTTAAGGAACCTCCATACTGTTCTCCATAGTGGCTGTACTAGTTCACATTCCCACCAACAGCATATAAGAGTTCTCTTATCTCCACATTCATAGTGTATAAGAGTTCCCTTATCTCCACATCCTCACCAGCATTTGTTACTTTTTGTCTTTTTGATAATAGCATCCTAACTGGGGTGAGATGATACCTCATTGTGATTTTATTTGCATTTCCCTGATGATTAATGATGTTGAGCATTTTTCATATACTTTTTGGCCATTTGTGTATCTTCTTTTGAGAAATGTCTGTTAAGATCATTTGCCTATTTTTAAGTTAGATATTTCTATTACTGTTGAGATGCTTGAGTTCCTTGTATATTCTGGATATTAATCACCTGTAAGATACATAGTTTGCAAATATTTTCTCCCATTCTGTAGGTTGTTATTTCACTCTTTTGATAGTTTCTTTGCTATGTAGAAGCTTTTTAGTTTGATACAATCTCATTTGTTTATTTTTGATTCTTTTCCCTGTACTTTTGAGGTATTATTAAAAATTTTTTCCCAGACCAATGTCCTGGAGTGTTTCCTCTATTTTCTTCTAGAAATTTTAGTTTCAAGTCTTATAATTAGATCTTTGATCCATTGTTTATCCATTGTGAGTTGATTTTTGTATAGGGTCAGAGGTAGGTATCAAAGAGCCCCTACATTAACACATCCCTGGAGCCCTGCAGACATCACCCCATGTACATCCAGAGGGCTGCATTGTCACAAAGCCAGCTGGACCCACACTTTAGCCCATGCAGTGTCCTACACTGTGGGGAACAGGTGGTCCAGCACACAAAGGAGGCTACCCTTAGGACAAAAAAAGTGAGTTGCATGCTTGCCAGGGCCTGGGAACCACTGGAAAGAGGCTGCTTCCCCCTTCCCCCTCCAGGTGACACTGGCAACCATCCAGGGTCCTGAGGACAGGTCTACCCACCTGATGCTGCCACTGGTATTTACATGCAGCTCCTGGAGGCCAAGACCAACCTACCATTGCTGCCACTGGCATCCATCCCAAAGGCACAGGGATGGGCCTGCCCAACCCAGTGGTGACACTGTTGGTGCCTGCAGCACCACCTAGGGGCTTCAGGGCTAGCCTACCACCACTACTGTGATCACCAGCATCATGAACAATACCAAGGGACCTGAGGACTGGCCTTCCCAGCTTATTGTTGCCAGTGGTGGTACGTATGCATACCAACTGGGGGCTTGAGGACCAGCCCACATGGGCACCCCAACTGCTGCCATGGGCACCCATGTATGCCACCTAGAGGCCTTAGGACTCGCACACCCTGCCCACAACCACCACCACCAGTACCTGCATATGCCATTTAGGGACCTAAAACCCAGCCAACCTGGTGTCTCTTTCCACAGCAAAGTCTTGCCACAACTTCCATTAACAACTACAGCCTAAGCCACTGAGGAATTTGCACACACAGTTGATGTTGATTATGGCCATAGAAACCATACAGAGACTAGAATACTGCACTTATCCACAATTAAAGCCTAAGTACCCTACCCAACCAACATTATAGCTACATCTACAGGAAAAAAATCTTTCCCTACAATAGCTAATCCATAAAATAGGAAGAAGTGAATATTATATAGGATGCACAGATATAAACATAAGGACACAAGAAACATGACAGAGCAAAGAAACATGATACCTCCAAAGGAACACAATAGTTCTCCAATAAGAGATCCCAAAGAAAAGGAAATCTATGAAATCCCTGAAAAGGAATTCAAAATGATCTTAAAACTCAGCAAGATACAAGAAAACAAAGTGTATAAAAAATGCAAAGAAATCAAAAAACAATTCATGATCTGAATGAGAAATTGAA